CCCGGCAGGTCGAGGCCGCGGGGGCCGGGAGCGGCCGCTGCACTCCAGTCTGGGCCACCGGGTGAGACTCCGACTCAAAAAAGAAAAATGTGGAGCCGTCGATCTGCGGGTCGTTGATTCGTTTTTGATGTTGGGAGGGACATCGGAATCCAGCTTTATGTGGTTTAGCATGTCAGAAGGCGTTCGAGACCCGCCTGGGCAACTTGGGGAGACCTCATCGCTACAGTAAATCAAAAATCAGCCGGGCCGTGGTAGGGCGCGCCTGTAGTTCCAGCTCCTTGGAAGGCTGAGGCGGAAGGATCGCCGGAGCCCAGCCGGTGGAGGCTGCGGGGGCCGGGAGCGGCCACTGCACTCCAGTCTGGGCCACCGAGTGAGACTCCAACTCAACAACAAAAAAAGAATGTCAGATGGCTACGCGAGCGCCAGCATCATGCGTAATAGACTAACATGTTCTCAGCAGCTACTGAAGAGGAAGACACGATCTCAGGTTTTATGAACAGTGGAGCTTAAGTGAGGCATTAGACGTATTTTATGGAGAGAGAGAACCCGCAGGACGCCGCCCTCGGAAGCCCGGGGGGTGGGGGGCGTCCTGGTGGGAACTCGCTCTTGGCGCGCGCGCGCCGCGGCTGCTGGAGCTCTGAGAATCCCGCGCCGGACCTTCCAGTTTTTCTGGGGCCAGGGGAAGGAGAAACCTAGGTTTCGGGCCGGCGGGGGGATGGTCCCTTTGATCTCAAGCAGTGGAAGCCTCGCCCTCGATGAGTCTCCTGAACCCATCAGGCTTGGGGGAAGTGCCGTCCTCTCCCAGGGGAAAGCCTGTGATAAGGTGCCAAGTGGCAGCCGGGAAGTTGCAAGCGCGGACTTGCCACCACGTGTGAGCGGTGGCTGGGAAAAGGGAACGGCTACAGGGCCGAAGCCCATGCCCTGGCCACGTAGGATGACTGGTAGACATCCTTAGTGCCAAGACAGTCAAGCAGCCCCGTATGTTTGGAGTCGGGAATGGGACGACCCGGGGAGGGCGGTGGGGAAAGAACGCGTGGTTCTTTGGTGCTTCCAGGTCTTTTACAGACGGGAGGGAGAAGGGGTGGTGGAAAGGCAAGCGTCAGAAAGAGGGTTGCGACCTTGAGTTCTGTCACTTCGGGTTCAGCGTCCTTATCTGTTAAATAACGGAGAGAACATCTTCCTCACTGACTGGTTGGGAGGATTGAATATTAACCAGTTTAACAGAACAAACCGTGCCCAGCACAGTGCCTGGTTCGCAGTAAGCAACTCGGCAACGGAGCGGGACTTAGCCCTTTCTCCAAGTGGCTTGCTCAATGCCATGTGGCAACTTGAGTGGCGGGGGAGGTATTATCGTACGGAATTCCAAAGTGTGTCAAGGGGAGATTTTGGGGGATTGTCTTGAATTTTTCTTGAAAAAGTAAAAAGTCCACTAAAAAGTAACCTGGGTAACACAAAAGAGTAAAAAAGTGCAAAGGAAGTTTCTGAAAGCCACTGTGATATATAACTGTTTTCTGTATTGTTTTACTGAGTTGTTTTCATTGCAATTTCCTAAAGGAAAAAAAAGTTCCCTATCCCAAAGCTTAGTTTACCAGTCAGGTTGCTGTTACCCATTCCATGTCTATCTTTTCAGACACAGTCCATGCCCACAGGAGTATGTGTGCGTGCGTGTGTGTGTGTGTGTGTGTGTGTGTGTGTGTGTGTGTTTCCATTTTGCCTTTCTTACTTGTCTTAGCATGGGGATCATCCCAAATAAACATATCTCACTCTTTTGAGCTGCTCTTATTCTACTGGATGGATGTATTATAAATAAAATCCATAACTTAATTATAAGATGATTATATTTAATTAATTGCTTTACCCATTAAAGCTTATCCAACTAGTTCTCTATTATTGGACATAAAGCACGTTGCCAGTCACTGCCTGTGCTGCCATGCCTGTTGTTCTTTCTTTCATTCAGTGATTTCGGTTTTTTTTGGAGACGGAGTCTCACTTTGTCACCTAGGCTGGAGTACAATGGCACTACCCTGGCTCACCACAGCCTCCTCCTTCTGGACTCAAGTGATCCTCCTGCCTCAGTCTCCCAAGTAGCTTGGACTACAGCTGCATGCCACCATGCCCAACTCATTTTTAAAGTTTTTAGTAGGGACGAGGACTAGGTTGCCTCTCGAACTCCTGGGCTCAAGTGATTCTCCTGCCTCAGCCTCCCAAAGTGCTGGGATTACAGGCATGAGCCACCATGCCCGGCTAGTGATTATCTTTTGGACCTCTACAGTTTGTCTGGTGGTACACATGATGCTGTAAACAAGGTGGCTGTGATTTCTTCCGTCACCAACTGAATATTCTGGTATGTCTTTGTATTTTGTGCATCTAAGTATATATCCTTGCAGGATAAATTGCTGAATGAAGTGAGATGTATATTTTTTAGTGTTGCTGCAAAATTGCTGAATGAAGTGAGATGTATATTTTTTAGTGTTGAGGAATATGACAAAGTGTCTTCCAAAGAGTCTGCACTCAATTTATTACTCTGATATTATATAATGGTGCCTTTTCTCCATATTACTCCCCATATTGTATTATCAAATACAATATGAGCATAAACCGCTAGACAAGAAATAATTTTTCATTTCAAATGTTATCATAGTATGCATTTATTTAATTTCAAGTGAGATTATCGTTTATCTATCTAAAATTCTAAAATTATTTCCCAGTGAAATGGAAATGGCCTGCTTTTGCCATTTGTTCTTTTTTTGTTTTATTGATTTATAAAATTTCTTCATATGTAAAGGGAAATAAGACTTTGTCCTGGTTTGTTGTCTGTCTTTTGACATTATTTATACCTTTTCTTGTGCAGAATTTAAAAGTATTGATTTGGTTGTTCTTTGATTGCTTTATAAGCTATTTTATCCAAAACTTTTTCTAGTAATACACTATCTATGGCTTCTCTTTTTTAATTTTGGTGTCATTGATCTATTGGTCATTGATTTATTTTGATGTTAGGAGTGAAATCAGAATCCAGCTTTATTTATTTTAGAATGTCAGATGGCTACGTAAGTGCCCCAACGTCATTAGTAATAAACTAATATGCTCTCAGCAGCTACTGAATATGAAGACACGATCTCAGGTTTTATGAAGAGTGGAGTTTAAATGAGGCATTAGACATGTTTTATATAGAGAGAGAACCAACAAAAATAAGTGTATCGCTTTCTGATTTCATTTTTGCTGTTTTTTAAAAAGTGAGGTCTAAATAGAAAAATAAATAACATTTACCCACAGCCTCTGTGATATATGTCTATTTTGTGTACTCCTTGTTTTACTGAGTTGTTTTCATTGCATCATGCCCTTGAGGAATTGGCTAGCAGGACAGTGTCTAAAGCCTCTGGGTAGAAATCAAGTTTCTGTCTGTGAACTCTTTGCCTTACTCTTCTGCCAACTGGAAAGGAAAGGGAAAGGGTAAGAGTGCAAAACTGTTTTGATGTTAGGAGTGAAATCGGTATCCAGAAAATCTAAAAATTTTCATTTTGGCCTACAATGGCAGTTAATTCAACTCAGTTCAAACGCCCTTGGTCACAATGTAAAAGACCTGCAGTTTTTGTATGAAGAAAGCTCGATTAAGTACCTCAGTTACAATGAAACCTCTCATCACTCTAATTTTTGTATTTAAAGTTATAGTGAATGAATACAGTTTTATAATTCTAATAGGTAATATGCTTATGGAATGCCAAGTACTTTGGTATGTAGTGTTTTAATGGATTAGCTTATTATTTTCTCATTTTAGAAGAAGCTGAGCTATAAAGAGTAAGTAACTAGTCTGAAATCATGTAGCTATCAAATGGTAGAGCAGGGATTCCAACTGGGGTGGAGCTGAGGAGGAGTCTGTGCTCTCAAGTGCCCTGCATTTGCCCCTTCAAGTTAAAACAACGAAACTATAAAACAATCCACTATTAGCTTCTCTGTTTGATCTCCATATTCTTATGAATTCCTGTCTTTCACAATAGTTCAGTTCCTTATATTTTTTCCATATACTTTTTTATCCCTTAATTATCTTTATAGTTTTCCCCAAAACTTGCAAAATTTCATATTCCCTGCTAATTTCTCTCCACCTAAAGCTTCTTTTGTAAAATGTATCATATCACACGTCAATTTCAGTTTTCACTGGGCTTCTGATAGTTACTGCCCTTGAACAAATGTGTAATTTCTCAAGGTTTTATTTTTTAGTTTTATTTTAAAGATGTGGGGTACAACTCAGAGTTAGATATACAAATATTCATTATGCAGGTATCCTTGTTGATGAGGTGTGTCCCTCCCTCCCCGGGCAGTTTCCCTTTCTTATAGTATTATGATAATTGTTCAAGTTTCGCCTGTGAGTGAGAACATATGGTACTCTGTTCTTTGTTTCTGTGATAGATCACTGAGTATGATCAAAGCTTTTCTTATCCATATAATGCCATAACAATAGTTACCTATGTAAGGAGGAATTGAAATGAAGCCATTAAACCCTATGGAAGTGCCACAAATATGGTGGTTGTTACTTTGTTTGAAAGTACATGAAAAGTGTAGGAAGAAACTTACTCTGTTATAAAGCAGAATTAAACCATAACATTTATTTATTTACTTCCAATTTTTTTAGATGAGAAAATATAGTGTATTTAGAAAGTGAATTTGAGAGAGAGAGAAAGAGGAGATTCACCCCCCAAGGTAGGGGAGGGGACCAAAGCCGGGAAACATGGCCTGGCATAGCTCAGAGAGCACATGGCCACACCATAGCTTAGCAAGGCAATGGCCTATTTCTAATTTTTGTACAAAATAGGTGCCTTTCAATAATGACTATTCATTTTAGCCAATTTTTTGATGTGAACATCAGATGATTTGCTTGAGAATTGCACAGTAGCAGTTTATTATGTATTTATGCCCCTAGACTGTGCATTTATTTATCAATGGAAAAGTAATGATCAAAGGTTCAGGTTTAAATCTTTCAATTTGCAAAAGTTAAGTGTCAGAGGCATGAGAATGATTTGTGCATCTCTACAGAGGTCATTTTCTCAAGTGTATGGATCCAGCCGGTTTTCTCAGGCATTAATTTATGCTTTCATTCACCACACCTCTTATTTCCTGGGTGTGCAGTACTCTGCAGAGAGGAATCAGCTAAGCACCCTGCCTCTATGACCCAAAAGATCTTTTCTTTTCTCATTCCATAGGAAAAAAACCCCATTATTTTTATATAGCCACTAATGTGCTGTTTCCAGCATTTCACTTGAATCAGAATGAAATTTTTTTTTAATGTCTGAGGAAACTCTAGAAAAATAATAAATGTGTAAAATGCTGTTAACAATTATTCTGGTGCCCCCATGACAGGAGGGGGAAGAGAAATTCATCTCATGGAATAGAATGAATGTGTCAGAATCCACAATGTGTTTGTTGTTCTCACTGCTTTTGGAAACTGCTATTTAGGTCACCAATTATTTCTTTGTTGGCAAATTGACTGACTTTTCTTCTTTCTTACCTCTGTCTTGCGTTTAATTCTTAGCAACATTCTCTCTTTTTAGAAGAAAGGTTTATTAATGCAGAAATGAAAGAGAAGGAGAGAGACAAAGAGAGGGTGACACAATCAGAGAAAGGTCGAGAGGGATTGGGGAGCAGGACAATGCAGATGACACTGTCTTCCCTTCTGTTCACCATAGTGCTGGTTCTCTTATGGTTCACCCAATTTCTCTCTTCCCTCAACCATTTCCAGTCACTGATGGTTTCCAAGGCTCAGAATTTCACCTACCGCTTGTAATTTTTGTTGCTTATACTTTTGCCTCCAAATCTTTGCTATTTTTGTGGATACAGTTTCCATGCTTATTACAGTGACTCTCAAATATAAAATCTAACCTTATCTTTGAATTATGGGCTCATTTTGCTAATAGATCTCTTCAAATTCAGAACAAATATATTTTCATTTTTGAAAAATTGGGAATGCTGAAAGCCATAAAGAGGAAAATTAAAATAGAATAACTTTTTTTTAAAAGTTGGAGTCTCACTCTGTCGCCCAGGCTGGAGTGCAGTGGCACACTCATGGCCACTGCAGCCTTGACTTGCTGGGCTCAGGCGATCCTTCCGCCTGCTTCCAAGTAGCTGGAACTACAGATATGTGCTACCACGCCCAGCTAATGGTTTTTTATTTATTGTAGAGACGAGGTCTCGCCAAGTTGCCCAGGCTGGTTTTGAACCCCTGGGCTCAGGTAATCCTTTCTCCTTGGAATCCCAAAGTGTTGGGATTACAGGCTTGAGCCACTGCACCTGCCAGATACAGTAACTTTTATATGCACCATTTGCTTTAGTGTTTTCCACAATATGCTGGCAGTGTTTGTATTATTTGTATATGTTGATTAACCAATTCTGGTGGTTCTTTTGGAAAAGAAGAAAGTGGAATTCCTTTGAGCCATATTTTGCCAAGGTCTAATATCCAGTTTTACGCTCCTTGGACATTCCTAATTCATTTGATTGGTTTCTTTCCTCCCTTATTTCAAAAAAGACTAAAGGTAGTGTTTCAGTTATCTCTTGCTGAGAAACAAATCACTCCAAGACTTAGTTGCTTAAAACACAATGATTTATGTGTTTGTTTGGGCAGGACTCAATGGGGATGGTTAGTCTCTGTTCCATATGGCATCAGATGGGAACTTGGCTGAGGTCAGACTACCCAGGACGTTCTCTCAACTCCCAAGGCCTCTGTCCACACGCATTACTAGCGTTCAGTAATCTTGTATAGTGTCTGGATACCAAAAAGCAAGCTCAAAAGGTGCGAGGGGTCTTAAAGCTTGGCCCAGTGTGCCTTCTACCACAATCTATTGGTCAAAGCAAGGTGTAAAGGCCAGCCTAGATTCAAGGGAAGGGAATCCAATAGACTTCGCCTCTCGATGGGAAGAATGGCATGCATTTACCAGGAAACCATGGACCATGGGTCCAAATGAAAATTACTAACTTCTATTACCTCAGATCCTTGATGAAGGAAACGTCTGGTTTCCAGAGCTAAAACAGTACCCTAAATTAAAATCTTAGCATACTGCTTGGCAAAGTTGATACACAATGCCAAGGCTTTCCTACTCATTTTACAAAGTGCTTGCCATGGATGCTAGTTGCAGACAATTTTACTTTTATTTTTCAGTTACTAAAAAATTATTATAAGTGGAGAGCAGAATGTCCAGAAATAAGTGCAGATCTACACCCCAGAAGTATTCTTGGCCTTCTGAAGGCTGGCTACCATGGAGTCCTGAGATCCAGGGATCCCACTGGCAGCAAGGTTCTTATTTACAGAATCGGTAAGTCATACACAGCCCTTCTTTTCCTCGCCTTCTCCTCCCTTCCCTTCCTCCTCCTCCTTCTTTCCTTCTGTTTTTCCCTGAATGCCATACATAAAGCTTCTATGAGTTCATCCTTAAGAATTTAGGTTTTTTTTTTTTTGAGTTGGTGTCTCACCCTGTCGCCCAGGTGGAGTGCCATGGCAAGCCACGGGCACTGCAGCCTTGACCTACTGGGCTCAGGCAATCCTTCCACCTCAGCCTTCCAAGTAGCCGGAACTACCACATATTACCATGCCTGGCAATTTTTTCTTTTTAATTGTAGAGACAAGGTCTCACCAAGTTGCCCAGACTGTTCTCAAACCCCTGGGCTCAAGCAATCCTCTCACCTCGGCTTCCCAAAGTGCTGGGTTTACAGACTTGAGCCACTGTGCCTGGCCAAGAATTTAGGTTTTAATTTACATTTTAGACTTAAGTTTAATTTGGATCTTAGTGTCCTCCAAATGTAATAAAACTTTGACAGTTGTGAGAAATATTAACAGAAATCAGTGAAAATCCTACTTCCGTTCTTCCACACAATTAGCTGAATAAAATGAAAGGAAAACAGAGAAGAAAAATAGTGGAAGGCGACAAAGGTCAAAGAAAACTGTTTAAAAAAATTTCAGTAGGAAATACAAATAAGAATTCTGAGCTCTAAGGATATAAGCTCCATAAAATTATGAATTTTGTCTGCTTTGTTCACTGATGTATCCCAAGTACCGAAAACAGGACCTAGTACGTATAGGTGTTCATTAAGTATTTGAGGAATGGGTGAGTGAATGACTAGTTCAAGAATGCCCCAGGCTGAGGATTAGGAGCTCATTTCCCTGGGTGGAGGAGGGTGCCGTGGGAACGCAGCTTCCCTGGCAGTTGTTGCAGACACTGTATTCTGTTTGTTTTTCTTTCTTCTCACTGCTTCCTTCTTTCACTATTAGGTGCTTCCAGTGTTTCTTGTAGCTTGGTGTCTTCTTTTTGAGGGGGGTTCAGACTCCCACTCTGTTGCCCAGGCTGGGCTGCAGTGGCACAATCACGGCTCTCTACAGCCTTGACCTCCTAGGCTGAAGAGCTCCTAAGCACCCTGAGTAGCTGGTACTACAGGGTGTCTTAGTAGCTTGGTATCTTAGTCCATTTAAGCCGCTGTAACAAATGCTGTAGCCTGGGTGGCTTATAAAACCAGAATTTTATTTATTACAGTTCTGGAAGCTGGGAAGGCCAAGATCAAGGCACTGGCAGGTTCAGTATCTGGTGAGAGCCTTTTTTCTGGTTCCTAGATGGAACCTTCTCACTCTAACCTCAAATGTTGGAAGGGGCCAGGAGTCTCTATCAAGACTCTTTCATAACCGGGCTCAGTGGCTCAGCCTGTAATCCTGCGCCTTGGGAGGCCGAGGTGAGTGAATTTCCTGAGCCCGCGGGTTCGAGACCCGCCTGGGCAACTTGGCAAGACCTCATCTCTACAATAAATCAAAAAACTTTAGCTGGATGTGGTAGTGTGCGCCTGTAGTTCCAGCTACTTGGAAGACTGAGGCAGAAGGATCGCCGCAGCCCAGCAGGTCAAGGCTGCAGTGGCCAGCAGTGGCCACTGCACTCCAGCCTGGGTGACAGAGTGAGACTCCAACTCAAAAAAACCCACCAAAAAACCACTCTTTCATAAGGCATTAATCCTATTCACGAGGGCTCTACCTCCATGACCTAATCACCTCCGAAAGGCCTCACCTCTTAGTACTTTCACTATGGAAGTTATAATTTCAGCATATGAATTTGGTTTTTCTTGGAGGGGGGAAACACATAAACATTCACACCATAGTAATTAGTGACCTGTAACTTCTGCCCTACCTTAGACCAGTATGTTATAAAAAATGGCAGGTAAAGGAGATAAATTCAACACTGCTCCTAGCACTTTTCATGACCCAGTTGAAAGAATAAAGATAACCAACATTCCATGAGCAGAATCTTGTGAATTATAATCTTACAGAGACTTCCACATCTTTAAAGATTTAAAATCTTTGTGTATTTGCATTTCTTGTCTGCTTATAAATACCAGCCTATAATTCAACTGCTTGCTATCTTGCAAGAAGACACTGTATTTAATTTTTGAAAGCTTATCAGAAGATTGAGTAAAATGATTCAGTGTTTTTGCCCTAGCTTATGTGTCAAATAAAATTGGGTTAATCTTGAAGTCGTCATAGATAAAACAGACTTCTTTTTTTTTTTTTGAGTTGGAGTCTCACTCTGTTGCCCAGGCTGGAGTGTAGTAGCACACTCACAGCCACTGCAACCTTGACCAGCTGGACTCAAGTGATCCTTTCGCCTCAGCCTTCCAAGTGGCTGGAGCTACAGGTGTGTACTACCATGCCCGGCTAATTTTTTTGTTTCATTATAGAGATGAAGTCTCGCCAAGTTGCCCAGGCTGGTCTCGAACCCCTGGGATCAGGCAGTCCTCGCGCCTTGGCCTCCCAAAGTGCTGGGATTATAGGCTTGAGCCACCATACCCAGCCTAAAACAGACTTCTGTCTTAATGTCCTTTCTGTTGCTTTCTTGCTCCACCAGTGTCAGAGGAAGCTCATAGCAATGAAGTTCCTCCAGCTCCTTAGAGATGGGCTTGCCAAATTTAGCAAAGTACCTATGATTTATTTAGCAACTAAACCCATATGTTATAAAAACACAGTATGCCCAGTTACATTTGAATGTCAGATAAACAATTTTTAAAATATGTACAGGGCATATTTATGTTAAAAATTACATCCTGTTTATCTGAAATTCAGCTTGAACTGGGTGATGTATATTTTATCCGGCAACTCTACTTAGGGGTCTGAGAAACGTAAAACTGAAACTCGCAGCTGATTCTTACTGTAAATGTCTTGGCTCTGCAGTGCCTGGCTAGTTTTTTTTTTTTTTTTTTTTT